TAGCATGAGGCTGTATATTCATTCAATGTTTAATTTTTTTGCAAAATGAATTCAGTTAATCCATTCATAATGTAATCTTACAGAAACATGCTCTTCCAGAGGTTTCTGTAAGATTATTGGGCAATTTTTCTGTATAGAAGATATTATCACAGGTGCTTGGTTTTACAGTGCTCAAAACTGTGATTTTGTGTCTGCAGAGATCGCATGTCTCTTCTTCACAGCAAAAATGCTATAAAATAAACATACTGAGTTGAGAAAAAGACCTTAATCCCATTGTTCCTTTACAAATCTCTGTACAGTATCAAACCCTTATCATTTACGTGTTGAGTTTCAAAAAGTTCAATGAATAGGAGATGGTTGGGAATGGAATAGATATGTGCAAGAAGCTAAGTATGAGGAGGGAGGGGCAAGCAGTAAAAATGAAAGTGAAATCTTTTGAGCAGAATACTCCACAAGTCTTTGAATCTTTTTGTGTATAGCCTGAGTTTTCTCATATTACTCTTTTCCTGAAGGAGAAAACCTATAAAGGCAGCAGAAAGTAAAAGAGACCCAATATATAAGTTTTATTCAAAATAACCCTAAAACAAAGGAAAACTTAAAACAACATCAATCATCAGAAACATCGGACCTGCTGGGTCAGCCCCCACATTTTTTTCTATTTATGATAACTTAAAAACTTACTTAAATCTATACGAAGTCCCATTTCTCTATCCAATAATAAAAAGAGTCCCAAGTTTGATAGAAATCAGTATCTTCTTTCTCCTTCAATGACAGTCTATCCATTTCTGCACAGTCCAAGATCTTTTTTAGGATCAGTTCATCGGTGGGCGGTTCTTCACTTTTCCAGTGTTGAGCAAATGCAATCCTCGCCGCAGTAATTACATGTAAAATCAAGTACATTTCTTGTTTACTAATATCAACAGGTATAATGCCTAATAAGAAAACTTCAGGTTTAAAAGCTAAGGATTTTTGTAACATTTCCTCAAGCCATTTATGTATTTTAATCCAATACTTTTTCACATTATCACAAGTCCACCACATATGATAGAAAGTACCCAATTTATGTTTACATTTCCAACATCCATTTGTCATATTTGGAAACATCTTAGCTAATCTATTTGGTGACAGATACCATCTATAGAACATTTTATACAGGTTTTCTTTATGTGAAGTTGCTAATGTTACCTTAATATTTCTCTCCCACAGCTTTTGCCATTTTTCTAATTCAATATTATATCCAAAGTTTTGTGCCCACGTTAGCATAGTTTCCTTAACCTCTTCATCGTCCATTCTCCTATCTAGTAAGAAATTATATAGTCTTTTAATCATTTTCTCATCTGATTTAAGCATCACCTGGTCAAATGCTGTTAAATCTTTATAAAAGCCCCACATTCTATAGTCTTTAGCATATCTCGATTGTATCTGCACGTTATGCCACCAAGAAATATTAGATCCTTGTTCTTACATTTCTTGATTCAGTTTCAATCCTCCATCATTATCCAAAATGTCATCATATCTCATGATCCCTTCAAAGTTCAATGCATTTGGATATACAAGAACTTCCATAGGTGAAAGCCATCTTGGTAATTTATTATACAATTTTGTCTTTAACTTTTCCCGCACCAACATTAATGATTTCCTAATATAGTGACTTAAAAAAAGCCATGTACCTTAGCCTTTTCATACCACATATAAGCATGCCAAGCCATTTGCAAATCATGCCCTTCAAGATACAAGATACTCTTGTTTCTTAAAGTTATCCATTCTTTTAGCCACATTGAAACAGAAGCTTGATAATACAGCATCCAGTCAGGGAGACCAAAGCCCCCATTCTCTTTAGCCTCCTGAAGTTTTTTTAGTTTAATCCTTGGTTTCTTCTTTCTCCATATAATCTCAAAATGTGAAAATTTAAATCATCAAAACTTTTTCTATCAATTTTTATGGGAATCATTTGGAATAGAAACAAAAGCTTTGGTAATATATTCATTTTAGCTAGTGCTATTCTTCCCAGCAAGGATAATTGCAAATTAGCCCATTTTTCCAAATCACACTTAACATCTTTAAATAGTTTATCATAATTGCCTTCTTTCAGAGTGGTACACTTAGCTGTAAGATGAATTCCCAAATATTTAACCTTTTTAACAATCTGAAAGTCTACTTGTTCCACCAGAGTTTTTCTCTGCTCCTGCATGAGATTTTTACTAACAGTTTCGTCTTTTCTCTATTTCTTTTCATCCCAGTAACCTCACCATACTCTTCAATCCTTTGTAAGAGTTTAGGCTTTGTTACTAAACTAGATCATCTGCAAATGCTTGCAGTTTATAGCTTTCATCTCTGGTTCTAGTACCTTTAATGTCCGTATTGTCCCTGATATTTCTGTTTAACACTTCTAAGATCAATATAAACAACAGTGGTGATAGTGGGCATCCTTGTCTTGTACCCTTTTGTATATCTATAATATTTGTAAATTTTCCATTGATTATAATCCTAGCAGGCTGCTTTTGATAGATGCTTGATATTGCATTAATGAACTTTTAATCAAACTCCATTTGAACTAGCTGTTTCTTCATAAATTGCCAATTAACATTGTCAAAAGCCTTCTGTGCATCCATGAATAATAGTGACATTGGTTTTTCCATATGTATCTCATCAATTTGGGAATATTTTAATGAAGCTCCTCTACCTACAGGTAAGGCAGGCATGTGTGCAGCTTACATAGAAAACCATGATTTAAATCTAGTCTTACAGGTTAGTGATTTAAATTGTGATTTAAATCAGTTTAATTTAAATCAAATCCACCCTGGCAGCAACTGTGATGAGCTTGTGCAGCTACTAGCATTATGGGGCAAGCATAATGTTACAGAGGAAATGTAGAGAGAAAAGATGGTTGGCTGAGGAGATTATACTGTTTAAAAGGGTTCTAGCATTTTCCATATGATCTGTTATTTCTGCAACTTCTTGGGAGTGTCCATTGCAATTTTTAGCCTGAAAAAAGTTAGCTCTGCTGGATGAAATCCACATTTTGCACATATGAACAATGAATGAGCTGCAGAAATCTGCCAGTGAAACTTCTCTGTGATACGCATGGCTTTAAACCTGATCATCTGCTTACTGCATGCAGTCACACTGCTGTTAAAGGCCCCTTGCTGAAAAGATGGCAACTCTAGGGAGAATTCCTTTCAATAAGATTCTTTCATTGCTATAGGGTAATACAACTACATTATTCTAACAGCATCAGAAACTTGCATATTGTTTGCCACACTCTTATGTACTACTTTGTAATTTGCTGTACATGTAAGCTCTCCTAAATAACTGAAATGGTGGCTCGTGTACCTTATATGCAAATAGAAGTCCAATCCTACAGATGTCTGCTTTGAAGTAGAATATTGCATTGAGTAGGATTTCCTCTCAAGTAAATGTAGGTAGGACTGTAGCTTTAGGCTGTAATCTTAGTTGAAAGTAAGTCCCATTGAGCTTAATGGGACTTACTTCTGAGTAGGCATAGGATTGCATTGTTAATGCATATTACTTTCAGTAACAGTTTTAAAAACAGCAGTTCACAATATTGATGCTTCCCCTTAATGGCTTTGACTTTAGTATTTTGTACTGATCCAAACTGGTTAGAATTTGCCATGGAAGACAAGATGGTTGTCTTCTTCCCCCACATCTCCCATAACATCCTGATACAAATCTTATGAAGTGTGGTACTAGTGGCTTGTGGATGCCTATTGGTGTTGGTGGGTGGAGGGTTTGTTCCCAGAGGTCACGCTATCCTTAGACAAATGAACTTTAAGACCATGAGTGTAAAATTATGTGTATGTGGACAGAAAGTCCCACAGCCACACAAAATCACACTATTAGACCCATATTCTTTTGTTCAAACAAAAACTCTAATTGCTCAGAAAATCAAATTATTTTAAAATCATGGGTGCAAAATGGGTTGGAGGGGAACCTGCACAGCCATAACAATGGCAGTGTGGTGCAGTTACAGGCACAGACAGCATTCCTGGAAAGCTGAGTGTGTGAGAACAGGATAAAAAGAATGACTGAAATCCACACAGAATTACAGTTTTTGGAACACAACAGCAAGTTCTGAGAGCATCCAGAGTCCATTTTTTAAATGTGCAAGCATCCTCACCACTGGCCCTCTCCAGACATTCTCAAAAGTAATGTTGAGGCAGAGCATAATACAACAATCCAGCTTATGCTTGTCTACTCACAAAGAAGAATGTGTTTATTCAGGAGTAAGAACAATAGCAACAAGTTTTGAGAGCATCCAGAAACTACCACTCTTGATTTCTTTCCCAACACAGTAACAGCCTGAAGAAGTCAAAGATATGAAAGAGACAGGCTACCAGATTTGGCTCAAATACCCCTCACAGTACCCTATTTGCACTCATTCCAGTGGGTCCTTTGTGGTAACAGGTGCCAATTTATTCCCATAATTTGCCATGAGGCAGAGTGTTCTCTCCCAACATTTTTAATTGCCTCCTTCCAGACCCTAGAACTCTCAGAAATCCTTGGGCATCTATGCCAAAAGCACATATGTGGTACAGCCAGAAGAGGGAAAGATGATCACTGTCATAATCCTAGTCAGGAAGTTAAAAGTTCAGTAGTGTGCATTTCTTCCATGAGGTAATTTTGTTTGAATAAGGGTCTTTAAACATTCTAAAATGAGAGGAGTTGAATTTAGATGGGTGCTGTCCTTGTATCCCTTTGGGTGGGCCAAGAATAGTTAAACCAAGGTTACCAAGTGGTTGAGCAGAGATTTGAATGTGGGTCTCTTCAGTGTATATATATGTGTGTGTGTACAATTAAGCAGTGTATGATTTTTTGGTAAATAATTCTGAACCAGTGTCATTACTGGTTCCCCACATCCTCCTAGACTCACTTTTTTCTCTTTAACTGTACAGTAGAATCAAATTATTGGTGCAGGAACACATTAGAAGATACTTTCTTTATGCAAATGTGAAAATACATTTTAAGTTGTACTTTTTCAGCCTTTAGATGAAACCAGCCAAATGAGTGACCTCCCTGTGAAAGTGATTCATGTAGAGAGTGGGAAAATTCTTACTGGCACAGATGCACCAAAGGCAGGACAACTGGATACCTGGTTAGAAATGAATCCTGGGTAAGCTGCTACCAGATTTCTTACACTACTTAACTCTGAAAATTGAGCTGTAAATGCATCCTTTTGTGTGTTTCATATGTCATATTAATCTTGTAGTCTGCTATCCTTGAATTTTGAAGAATTGTAATATTGATATTGTTATATTGATAAGGTTCCAGAAAGGTCAAAACAGTGAGGGTGATAGCATGTCAGGATGTTTCATAGTCTTGGCAGCTCTTCACTTTAGTGTTTTAATGTGCTTAGTGATCATCAAAAACAGCCAGCTTCCGGCTTTGTCCATTTTAGATGGCTTTAAAGGGGATTAGAATAATTCAGGAGGGATAGGTTTAATAACACTTATTAGCCTTGGGGCTAAATGGAACTTCCAGAAAAAGAGGCAATAAGTCTCTGAACACCAGTTGCTTGGAAGTGCATAAAAAATGCTTTCCCGTGGCTTCTGATTGACCACTGCTAGGAACAGGATACAGGGCTAGAAAAACTCTTGGACCACTCTTCTTTGAATGTGTTTTTACTCGCTTCCATGAAGCAAGCTTTCATTTGGAAGGAGAGTACTTCATCACATGCTTCGAAATGCTTCTGGGGAAGTGCACTTTGTGTGTGTGTGTGTGTCTTTCCATTTCCCCTCTCTGCAAAATGCTACATCTTCAGAAATCCCAAAGTGTACTTTCTTCCCTTTGGGAACAAAAATGGATTTGCTATATATATCCATTGTGGTTGTCTATAAGAGATCCATCAATCACATTTTGTTCTGGGCATATTAGAGATTATCTCTTGTGTATACAGGGCTCTAAGGAGAAAATGCTTTTTGTGAATGTCTTGTTTTCTCTGTTTCAAGCTCTTCTTACCCAGTTGATATAATACAGCCCTTATGTAGACTTTACACCTGTTAGGTTCACCTGACATGTATTCTAGAAACCCCCCTTTTCTGGAAGCTGAGATGCTCTCCCTTCATCTCTATCTCAACTTCTCCAGTGATTTCACAAAGAACAATCATGGTCAGATTGACTTCCTGTGATTCAGTATAAAGAATGTGTCAATTTTTCCTATATGATACAATTTGCTGTGTTACTACTATGAAGAATTTTAATATCTATTTAAATAGATATGAAGTAGCACCAAGATCTGACAGTGAAGAAAGTGGATCAGAGGAAGAGGAAGAGGTAAGAAGAAATGGTTTGGCTTCCAAATAGTTTTTTAGAATCTATTTCTTTAGCATGGAACCAGAATCTGACATAAAGAATTTGTTTGTTTATTTAGGATTTTTCTAGGCTGTCCAGTCACTTCCATCTGTGGACAGCTCACAACAATCTATAAATACAATAATAAACAATAACATCTCTATCCTAAACAATAATAAATTAGATATCCCACAACTGAAATATATAAAATTAATAAAATAAGTTAAATTTAATTAATTAATTGAAGATTAAATTTTTTATCATTAAAATATTGGTTAAATAAAAAGGTCTTGATCTGGCACCAAAAAACATATAAAGACGGTGCCAGGCGGAACTCTCTGAGGAGCGCATTCCATAGCCTGGGTGCCACCACAGAGAAGGCCCTCCTTCGGGTATGTTCTCTCCTAATCTGCTTCAAGGAGGGTTCCCGGAGCAGGGCCTCTGCTGCCGATCTTAGGGGGCAGGAGGGCATATGGGTAAGAAGACGTTCCTTTAGGGATCCTGGTCCCAAACCATTTAGGGCTTTAGAGGTAATAACAAGCACATTGAATTGGGCCTGGACTTCATTGGGAAGCCAACGGAGCTGATAGAGGACCGGAGTAATGTGAGAGTAATGACTGGTCCCCGACACATCCTGGCAGCTCTATTTTGCACCATCTGAAGTATCCAGACTGTCCTCAAGGGCAGCCCCACATAGAGCACATTACAATAGTCCAATCACGAGTTTACCAGTGCATGTGTCACCGTTGCTAGACAGCTCTTGTCTAGGCAGGGATGCAGCTGATGGATCAGCCAAAGCTGAAGGAAAGCACTCCTTGCCACCGCCGTCACCTGGGCTTCCAGGGACAGTTCTGGGTGGAGGAGCACTCCCAAGCTGCAGACCCTGTCCTTTAGAGGGAGTGCAACCCCGTCCAGGACAGGGCCAAAGTCACCTACCTGGATACCCAAGTCACCCACCAACAGAACCTCCGTCTTATCTGGATTGAGTCTCAGTTTGTTGGCCCTCATCCAGCCCATTACCTCAGCCAGGCACCAGTTCAGGACAGCCACTGCCTCACCTGGATTAATTGAAAAACAGAGGTAGAGTTGGGTGTCATCAGCATACTGGTGACTCCGCAGCCCAAACCTCCCAAAGAATGTCATCCTTTGCCTGAAAAGAAGCTGAACATGTGCAATGTTGACGTTTCTGTTCTTATTTCTTTTTTCAAGCAGGGCTTTCTTACTTGCACAGAAAACAGAACTTGTGCAGTGATATGGCTGCATTTGGCTTAAATAACATTTAAATCAGGCCAGTAGACTAAGCTGCCTCTTCACAGCTCCACCATGTAAAGCTTCTGTCTGTGTGGTTAGGATAGATTGATGGATTATGTGATGTGAATGCTCAGTCTTGGTAAATTTGCTATATTAACCATGCAGTCTGACCAACTGTGTTGGTGGAAGCTGTATATCCCACTGGAGAGGTATGTAAACCGTCACTTGGGGAAAACATGTAAAGCAGACCTCATAGCAAAAAATATGCACTGAATGTCCTTATTAAGTTGTGCTGACATTAACATTGTGTGCAACTATAAATTTACTGATTGCTTGAAGCAAGGAGATCAAAAGCTTATTGTTGAAACATACATTCTTTCCCTTTACCCATTCCTTCAGGATCATAAATTCGTTGTCTCAGTTATTTACTATGTCAGCAGCAGCAGCAATCACAGTTAAGGATAACCAAAACTTCTACTTCCCTAGAACTTGAAACCAGCTTGGAATCCTCCTTACCTCTCTGAAGAACTCACTAAGAGCTCACTGTATTTTCAGACCCTGAGAATCATGTAATTTCCTCCAGATCATTCTGTGACATCATGGCATCTCAGCCAGTGTCTGTCTTTTCAGCCTCTCTTCTGTCTTCTTTGAACCATCTCCATTAGGCTCCATGACCATGACGTTCAGATTCATACCCAATACCATCTCTAATCTTTACACTTTTATGACATAACAGCAGGCCAGGCAAGTGAAAGAATATCCATCTTTCATTTGTCCTTTTCTTCTGAGTTTCTGCAAATATTAGTATGTTTTGGTGAGCTTAATTATAGTCTGTTCTTTTATGGGTTATTCATTTAACCTGCTCTTCAGCTGAAAAGGTCCTTAGAGCAGTTCCACAAGATCAGTAACACCACAATCCTTGCCTGCAGGATTACTGACCAAAACATGTGACATAAAAGGAAAAAGAGGTAGTGAGGAAGGGGGAGAAATTTGACCTCAGGCAACAGTTCTTTTTGTTGCAAACAAGCAACTTCAGTGGAAATAGTTGAAGGGGAAGAGTTGCTTAATGGAGCTGTCAGAGCCAACCAAGAGGCACTGCAGTCCCATTTTTCCATCTGCTGCAACTCAATGACAACTGAGGAGGTACCTGATTCAGTAAAATAGCCTTGCAAGTCCCAAGACATTTAAGCTGCTCATGTTCAGTTGAGTCTGAGAGTCTCTTAATTTCTGGCAGGAGGAGGAAGAGGAACAACCACAGCCTTCCCAGTCTGCATTACCTGTGGAAGAGAAGAAAAAGATTCCCGATCCAGACAGTGATGATGTTTCAGAAGTGGATGCAAGGCATATTATTGAGTAAGGCTCCCCTTTTCCTTCAGTGTCGTTGTCTCCATGAGTAGTTATCTTTCAGGTTTCCCTTTAAAGTTAAGGTAAGTGAGTATGCAGGGTGAGTGGATATGGCGTTCTCCCCTCAAATAGGAGAGGGTCATTAGCACTAGAAAGGGCCCGTCCTCTGCATCTGGAAAAGCAGCCTCTCGACTTGGAACTGAAAGAGAAGGGGCCTGTCCCATTTCTCCCCAGCCCTTATCTTCACAACAGGAAGCAGAACAAAACCTGTCTTTGGGAAACTGCCAAAATGTGTGAACACACACACACACTCACTCACTCACACACACATACACACAAATATTGGTGCTGGGACAGAAAAGAGAGACAAGATGCTTGCTTAATAGACAGGAGCTGAGATTGCCCCCTTCTCTTAGTACTCTGTTTTGCCCAATCTCCTCTATGACCCATTCTTTAAAATAACAATAGTTGAAGCTTCCTAGCCACTTTAGAGTAATATCAGTGGCACACCTCTGGGGGCTGGTGTGCAATTCATGGCTCTTCCTGGTAAGAGGAGGGTTCTGATGAAGGCTCTGGTAGGATGCTGATGGGTGACATCCAATCCCTGACTTCACTGTCACTCAGACGCTCCATGCTTTATTGCTGCAGGATAGGAAACATAAAGCCCTGGGTAGATCACTTAGGAGACAGATGAATTCTAGATCCCTCGAAACATTGCAGAGAAGGGAACCAAATGCTTAAAACAGATGTGGTTGTATAGGTGGGAGGAGCTGAGAGGGTGTTACGGTGCTAAGAGAGGTTTTATACCCTGGCTCCATACAACTTTCCTATTTAAATTAAGCTTTCTCCACCCATGTTCATGTTAATCCCACCTAAAAATAGGCATCAAGTAAGGAAATGATCCAGAATTCTGAAAATTTTGGGGTAGGGCTCATTCTTTATACTATATGCATTTTGGAACATACAGAGCCAAACCCTGAACAGGTAAGGTTTATTTATAAATTGTATTGTGGCATTTCATTTGCAGCACAGGAGCCTTCGTAGTTTTGCCCTGTTAAATTTATTTTAGGTATACTAATATAAAAAGGGTTTTGCCAATGATCTCATTTTAAACTTGCTGCCTTCGTTTGCTCTGTTTATTTCCCTCATCCTTTTAAAATCCTTTCTCTAGGAATGCAAAGCAAGATGTTGATGATGAATATGGAGTGTCTCAAGCCCTGGCAAGGGGGTTGCAGTCTTACTATGCTGTGGCTCATGCAGTCACTGAAAGGGTGGACAAGCAGTCCTCACTCATGGTGAATGGTGTCCTCAAACAGTATCAGGTATGAAGCGGGTAGCAAGGTCCTGCACCAGGGGTAAATGTACAAGTCCTATGCTTTCAGCTGCTCTGGGGAAAATACAGAACATAAGGCAAGTGTTGATGTTATTTTCTCTCCATATGCTCAGTAATGTGTGCACATGTCTTTTTCTTTTCCCATAGATTAAAGGTTTAGAGTGGCTAGTATCTTTATATAATAATAATCTAAATGGCATCCTGGCAGATGAAATGGGCTTGGGCAAGACGATCCAGACCATTGCTTTAATTACATACCTCATGGAACACAAACGTATCAATGGACCCTTTCTCATTATAGTACCTCTGTCGTAAGTATTCTTGTTAGATTCATTTGGAACTTAAAGATGATAAAATTCCACAGTTTTTCTATATTTCTTATACTGTGTTTATTATATGGTTCTCTGTGTTTGACTCCTATCATTACCACATCCTGGCAAGCATGATATGATCTTGTAGGCCAACATCAGCAGTGTATGGGGGTATAATAGCTGTCCTAAGGGGAGCATTAAAGAAGAAAACATCTATATTTAGCAAGTTTTGACTAACAGGGTGTACTAATACGAAGACAGCAGATTAGCTTCAGTTAGACCTGCCAGATCTTTGTTTGTACTAACTGTAGTTTAGAATCCAAAGTGTGATTTTTGTACCAGACATAAGTGCCAACCATGACCTAATACTGCATGTGTATTTTTCATGCATCTCCACTGAAAGTTCCATATCACTCCACCTCACTCTGCTTTTGTCAAAATGATATCATCCAAGCTGCCTTCCTACTGTTGGTCAACAGTCTCAAGGATTGCGATCTCAAGTGCACCTGAGGCTATGCTTGCTCAGAAACCTGTTGGGTGTTCCTGCTTCCTTTGGTGTTCTGCTGAGAAGTATTCCCTTTTACTTATCACTCCATGTTATTCTTGCTCCAAAAATATGTTTGACGCTTCCTCTGTTAGAAATATCTCTCCCTCACCTCTCTGTTCACCTGTTCTCGTATCTGGAAACTTCTCACATCTGAGTTGTATAGGAAAACAGAACAGGCAATGTACAGGGAGATCAGAACTGTGAGTGGACTGAAGCCCGGTTGAGAACATGTTACATAAACAGCCAACAAAAGCAAGCTACTTTTGTTTTCTGCCAACTTTGGACTCTCCATCTATGTAGTACAACAGTGTCAGTACAACAGAGGTGGAGCAGTGCCCAAAATGGAGGTTTGTCAATTCAGATTTCTGTTAAGCCATACTTTCTGGACATTTTGGCACATCTGGTTCAAACTATTGTTCTACTTTTTGGTTTGCCTGCTGATTGCAAGCTTTAACTTGGCTGCTTATTTATTCATATCATTTCTATGCCGTCCTTTACAACAACATCTCAGGACAGCTTACAGTGTTAAAACCAATAATTAGTAAAAGCAATCAATAAAACAATACAATAAAATAGTACATAACCAATAAAATAAATCAAGGCAACTGTTAAACTACTAAAATGACGTTTAAATAAAAAGGTTTTAACCTGGCGCTGAAAAGAATATAGGCTCAGCGCCAGGCAAACCTCTCTGGGAAGCGCATTCTACAATCTGGACGCCACCACAGAGAAGGCCCTACTCCGAGTAAATGCACTTTTTACCTCCTTCAGGGAGGGTTCCTGGAGCAGGGCCTCTGGCAGATCTTAAGGGGTGTGAGGGCCTATAAGGAAGGAGATGTTCCTTCAGGTATCCTGGTCCCAAGCCATTTGGGGCTTTATAGGTCAAAACCAGCACCTTGAACTGGGCCCAGAGTTCAACTAGAAGCCAGTGGAGCTGGCAGAGGACCGGCGTTATATGGGAATAATGGCAGGTCCCAATCAGCAGCCTGACAGCTCTATTTTGTACCAGTTGAAGTATCTGGACTGTTTTCAAGGGCAGCCCCATGCAGAGCATGTTACAGTAATCCAACTGGGAAGCTAACAGAGAATGAATCGCCATTGCTAGGCAGTGCTCATCCAGGTAAGGATGCAGCTGATGGATCAGCCGACGCTGTAGGAAAGCACTCCTTGCTGCCGCTGCCACCTGGGTCTCCAGTGACAGCTCTGGATCAAGGAGCACTCCCAAGCTGTGGACCCTGTCCTTTAGAGGGAGTGCTACCCCGTCCAGGACAAGGTCAAAATCACTTACCTGAAAATCACAAGGTCAAAATCACTTACTGAACCACCCACCAGCAGGACTTTCGTCTTACCTGGATTGAGGCTCAGTTTATTGGCCCTTGGCCAGACACTGGTTCTGGACAGCCACTGCCTCACCTGGATTGGTTGTAAACGAGAGGTAGAGCTGGGTATTGTCAGCGTACTTCAATTTAGACATCAAAGCCACTAGAGTTAAGCTTTGCAAAGCATGGTTTGGCATGATGCCTGAACAGAGCTTGTGGTTCCTCAAAAAGCTGATAAAAGCCAACCTTTAACCTATAACAGTGAAGAAATCCAAAACTATCCAAAATTCCTGCATATTTGAGGCTGAACATGATTAATGTGTTTAGTGACTTTCTCCTTGAAGTACCTGATACCAGTGACTATTTAAGACATGTTACTTAGATCAGTTGAATCCTGTTAAATCTTTTGTTCCTGTGTAACTGACTTGCTTTAAATTATGTGGTCAAAGCAGTTGGAAAATGAAAGCCCTGTGTGTAAACCATTTTGGCTAATGGACAGGATTTTGCTTGCTAGTTGCAAAGTTGCATCCGATCCTTCGCGACCCCATGGACAACACTTCTCTAGGCCTTCCTGTCCTTCACCATTTCCCAGAGTCCACTTAAGCTCACACCAACTGCTTCAGTGACTCCATCTATCCACCTCATCCTCTGCTGTCCCCTTCTTCTTTTGCTGTCAAAATGGGCAGGATAGATATGTAATAATAAACAGTGTACCTAAAATGCTATAAGACACATAATTACCAATTTTCCAAGGCTTTTATTGGTCCATTTTATAGTTGGGACAAACTCTGTTGGAATCCATCCTTTCACATGTTTGCAAGCTTTCTCTTGTTTTTGGCCCAGTCTTCCACAGTGAGCTGAGCCTAAAGGATATCTGTGAACACTCACAGACAACTTCTTGTGCAACCAGCATCCTCAGCATCCTTTCATGTCAGCTGCAGCAGCCCAAAGGGCGCAGAAGAGGGATTGACACAGAAGAAGGATGCTACTGGTGCAGTGGTGGGGAGGTGGGGTGCTTTTCTGGTGAGCCTTAAATGGTGGCTTCTCCTGGTATGCAAGAGGGCACTGATATCAGTCACAGGGTTTCTTCCTTGCAAACAGGCTTAGTATCAGTTGCAACCACTCAAATGGTAGCTGTTCTTGAAGTGCAAGGGGGGAGCTACTTGTGGTGCACTTGGTGTGCAATTTCTGACACAGGGAATCCAAGCGATTCCCATCCCTGGACAGATGCTTCTCATATCCCTAGTCTATTCTTCACAGGAGCCCATTCTTAAACAAGGTTGCATGTCAGGATCAGTTTCAGGATTAGTGAAATTGACCCTATCTCCATCTGCTCAGCTCACCGTCTGATAAACCTTTTGCAAATATGCTTCTGAGATGCATTGTTTCAAAAGACATACATGCAGTTCTTACCGGTTAAGCTGCCAGCTAGCATATTATGGTTGTATGATTTATGTTTTTTTAAAGCAGCTCAGAGTAGAATCTTATTTTTCATAATAAGTGAAAATAACACTGTATTTCTGTTCTAGAACTCTGTCAAATTGGGCATACGAATTTGATAAATGGGCTCCTTCTGTAGTGAAGGTCTCATACAAGGTAAGTATTGTGGTCCAGATCTTCATGTAATCAAAATCTTCGTCAGGATGGGATGTGAAGAGTCTCTGGCCAAAATATATATAAGGGGAGTGATTAGCTTATTAATGTCTAACCTGCTGTTGCCCATAAGTCAGAGCAGGAGTCTGACAAAGTTCTTCCACAAAGCAAAGCTTGTTTTCTAACTTTGCTTATTGATTTTAAATGGGAGAGAAATTACTTCTCAAGAAAATTCTAATTTTCAGTATGTTTTTACAGGTTCTCCAAATTCCCCTTGCTTGTCCACTTTCTTATTGCTAATAATGCAAAGTGCCTCTGGCCACTGTACTTGTGTATTGAAGGGAGTATTGAAGTGCTACATTACCCCTGTGGTCAAATGCTTGGTTTCATGGAAAAATGGTTTCTTTTCCATTTCTCCTCTTTCCTTCCCCTCAGGTTTCCCCCGTCACTAAGCTTTCACATTCCTACTTCTTTGTACTATAACTGGTCTACTCACTTTTCAAGTCCTTTGCCTATGGACTCAGTAACCCAGTTTGAACAACACGTCAAACCATACTGCCTGATAAGCCACAGTGTGTTGTCTTGTTGTGCAAACCCAAACCATTTTCAGTTGCATCACTCGTTTGTGTGCTGCAAGCCTCCTTGGCAAGCACTGGCTTGTTTTAAGGATTATTATACCCATGGGAGATCATTGTGTCATGTGAAGTGAGGCAGCTGATCCTGTTATGGGTACTGCAGTGCAGCAAGCGAGGCTCCTGGAAAAGTGTCAAAACCCCCTTGATGCTGTTGCCAAGCTTGCTTGAGCCACTGACAGCTGCACAGGAGGTACATTACGGCAACTGTCACTGACTTAGTGTTTCCTGACATGATTGGGAACACTTTTGCATCAGCCTTGGGCTTCCTCTCCCTTTTTTTCCTCCAGTTTGACAGCTAGTAACAGGTTTTTCAAAGTGCATAAACAACAAGTTCAAGCGGTTTCACTGGTCCATTACTTTAAAAAACCCCCACACTATTGTGCACACTATTTTGTATATTTTTGTATTTTTTTAAGTCAAGTTTGCCTAAGGAGATGCACACTTTTGCAGATCTGAAATAGGCAACCTCACCTGGGCACTGTTCAAGGAGGTGTCTGCTGTCAAAGTGCAGCAATTGACCTCCATGAGCATTGACTTAGAGTGGCTGCTAAAAGCTCTTTTTTTCATTTTGTTTTCTCAGAGCCATAAGTGATTTTTGGATATGGCTCTACAAAGGTTCCTCTCACTTTTCCACCCCTTCCCAAGACTCCAGGTGCCACCCCATTTTATTTGAGCCACCCTGTTTTATTTATTTCATTCCATTTCTATGCTGCCCCATAACCTGAAGTTTCCCTGGGTGACTTACAAATGCTAAAACATCATAAAACATTGCAAAAAGCAGTCTGAAAAAAAAATGGAGAGGGTAAAAAAGACTGCAGCGCACACTTGTGAGCTTGCAATTGTGGGTGGGAGGGAGACACATGATGGGTCCTGCCATGGAGTCCCCTGGGATAACTATGAGAGGTAAAGAGAGAAGGAACAGGACTACCCGTAACAAGGCTGATCATCTGGGTTGTTTGGAAGCAACCAAGCGGCTATGGTTATTGCCAGAGTGGTTACCATGGTGGACAAACTTGCTGTTTCTTAATTTTCCCAATGCTTCAGCAACTCCCACAAACTTCTGTTTTTAGGGTTTCATCAAAGTTTTGATCTCAGCTTGGTTGAGAAGTTTTCCTTCTTTCATTGGAACTCAGCTGGAAACCACTGTATTGGAATGTTTATAAGCCAGCTCACCCTGTCAACTTCATGTGTGTGAGAAAAATGGAATATATATTAGTGTTCCTTAACCCAGCTGCTCTCCTGGTGCTTTGAGTGACAACCCCCAGGATTCTTGACCACTGGCCATGCTACTTGGGCCTGATGGGCAATAGTCCAAAACTTCCAGAGGGAACCAGATTGGTGAAGGTTAATTTATTTTCCTAAATGTTCTGCTTAGATTTTCTTATATCTACCTTATTTTTAGGGCTCTCCGGCTGCAAGACGGGCGTTTGTACCTCAGCTTCGAAGTGGGAAGTTTAATGTTTTGCTTACTACATATGAATATATCATCAAAGATAAGCACATTCTTGCAAAGGTGAGACTGCCTTGTTTGTAAACTCTCGTATTTATTACTTTATAAAAGTCAATCTTTTAGAAAAAAACACTGCAAGACATCTTACAATATATTCATTTTAACAATATTAAAAACATAATAGAATTAAAGACACAAAATCACAATAAAGTTAAACAGAGTCAGTCAGCAATAACATTAAAACAGAATTTAGCACCTGACTTGCCTTTCTCAAGCTAGTGTTTTTCTCACACTAGCTTGAGAAAAAATCATTATGGTATCCTATAAGCAATTTTGTAATTAGACAGTTCTCTTGAAAAATTAAGCAGTAACATAATATAAGTAATATATATCATATGTAAAAGTAATATAAGTAATATATCATAGAGACATAGATAACTAAAGCATTCACTGAATTTATATGACTGCTGAATAATTTCTCCTGTTTAAATGGTGCTAATGAAATTTCATCTATGTAGCCAAGAATTACTGCCTCTTCTCCCATTCATTGGACTTGTGTCAGTTGTAGTAGCCTTTGTTCTAAACAATTTAATGCTTAATCTGTCTCTGATGAAGAACAGTTAGAAGCTAGTTTTGGACATTTGCCCAGTGTTTGTGTATTGTGCAGCACTTTCATTGCATATCGATTTATTCAAGAGATTAGTTCAGCCAGTGCAAAGGCACATATAATCACAGATTTTTTCAGCCCCCATTTTTTTGTAGCAGGATCCCAGGAGTTGCTTCAAATGTTCTTTTTAAACATGTGTTTATTCACAACTTGGTTGTGAGGGACTTCAGTCTCTATGGCGCTGCTGGTCTGACTGGGGCAGCTCAGGACTTCATGGCTGCCATGACAGCCATGGGGCTGTCTCAACATGTCACTGACCCAACACATGAAAAAGTGTATGCTCTTGGCCTGGTCTTTTTGACAGGACAGGAAGATGGTGATCTGGAAGAGGAGATCCCTTTGTCATGGTCAGATCACTTCCTCATGTTTAAACTTGGGGCCAGTTTTTCCCTCTGTAAGGGTGTGGACCTTATTAAAATGGTCTGCCCCCAGAGTCTTATGGATTCCGATGGATTCCTGAGAGTTCTGGAGGAATTTCCAGTTGATAGAACTGGTACTGCAGTTGATGCCCCGGTTGATTTGTGGAATGAGGAAATGGGCCGGGCAATTGACACGATCTCTCCCAGGCATCCTCTCCCGCCAGGCTGAGCCTGTGTGGCACCTTGGTATATGCCTGAGTTGCAGGCGATGAAACAGGGTAGGAGACTATTAGAGCATAGGTGGAGGAAATCCCATGACAAATCTGAACAAACATGCCTTAGCGCTCATTATTGAGCCTAAGTTGTGGCGGTGAGGGTGGCAAAAAAGGAATTCTTCTCCGCCTCCATTGCATCCTCACAGTGCCATCCAGCAGAGCTCTGTTGGGTGGTGCAGGGTCTATTACACCCTGGGCATAAAAAAGATTTTATCTCACCCTCAGTGTCTCATTGTAACAACCTTGCTCAGTACTTTAAGGATAAAGGATAAAGTTGCTCAGATTCGCCACGAGCTGGATTCCATAGTAGATGAGGTCCTTGAACGAGAAGTGTCCAGAGTGCCATCTGGTCTGTCTTTTTTGGATGAATTTCAATTATTGCGGCCCGAGGATGTGGACAAGGTGCTTGGACTAGTCTAACCCACCACTTGTTTACTCGACGCTTACCCCTCGTGGCTGCTCATCAAAGCCAAGGAGGGGATATGTACTTGGGTCCAGGAGGTTATCAACACCTCTCTGAGGGAGGGTTGAGTCCCTGCCCCTTTGAAGGAGGCAGTGATCAGGCCCATCCAGAAGGGGGCGACCCTGGACACAGAGGTAGCCAGCAATTATAGGCCGGTGGCTAATATCCCATTCTTTGGCGAGGTGCTCGAGTGGGTGGTGGCTGGGCAACTCCAGGCTCTCTTGGATGAAACTGATTATCTGGACCCATTTCAGTCTGGCTTCAGGCAGGTTATGGGATGGAAACTGCCTTGGTCGCCCTGTACGATGATCTGTGCAGGGAGAGGGACAGGGACAGGGGGAGCACATCCCTGTTGGTTCTCCTGGACCTCTCAGTGGCTTTGGATACCATCGACCATGGTATTCTCCTGGATAGGCTGGCCGAGTTGGTAGTTGGAGGCACTGCTTTGTGAAGGTTCCACTCCTGCTTGGCTGGCCAATCCAGAAGGTGGTGCTGGGGGATTGTGGCTCTGTGCCATGGCAGATTTGCCATGGAGTTCTGCAGGGATCCATTTTATCCCCCATGCCCTTTAACATCAACATGAAACTGCTGGGAGAGGTCATCTGGAGGTTTGGGCTGTGGAGTCACCAGTATGCTCCTTTACATCGAATCCAGGTGAGGCAGTGGCTGTCCTTAACCACCTGTGCCTGACCAGGGTGATGGGCTGGATGAGGGCCAACAAATTGAGCCTCAATCCAGATAAGATGGAAGTTCTGTTGGTAGGCGGTTCAGCCTTTTGGGTAAGTGCTATTAGCTCTGGATGGGGTTGCACTCCTCGTAAAGGACAGGATGTACAGTTTGAGAGTGCTCTTCGACCCGGAGCTGTCCCTGGAGTCTCAGGAGGTGGCAGTGGCAAAGAGCGCTTTCCTTCATCTACAGCTGATCCATCAACTGCACCCTTACCTGTATAAGTAATGCCTTGCAATGTTGATCCATGGTCTGGTAACTTCCCAACTGGGCTATTGTAACACACTCTGTGTGGGGCTGCCCTTGAAGATGGTTTAGATACTTCAGTTGGTTCAGAATAGAGCTGCCAAGTTACTAACAGGGACTGGCAGGTATGCACACGTAACACTGGTCCGTTACCACTTACACTGGCTCCCATTTGAAGTCTGAGCCCAATTTATGGTGCTGAACCTGGATATCTGAAGGAGGGTCTCCTTCCCTATGTGCCTTCCTGCCCCTAAAGATCTGGTGCAGAGGTCCTTCTTTGGGAGCCCTCCCTGAAGGAGATTAGGAGGGTGGCTACCTTGAGAAGGGCCTTCTTGGCGGTGACGCCCAGTTATGGAATGCGCTTCCCAGGGAGGCTCACCTGGCTCTGACTTTGTATTCTTTTCGGTGCCATACCAAAACCTTTTTATTTACCCATTATTTTAAAGGCTAAGAAACAATATATCTCTTCTCTGTGTGTTGTCCAGCAGAGCTTTTCAGGGTAGTTTAGGTATTTCATGCTTCCCCAAAAGATTCTGTGGAGATGCCTAAGGCCCACTGTTATACACTTGTTAGGCACTTCCCAGATAAAATCCCTTGCATCTGCCAGCATTATAGCAGATGAATCAGGTGAAGTGTCCAAAGTGCAGTCTGGTTTAGTGTTCTTGGATGCATTTCAGTTGGTACATTGCAAAGACTTGCCAAGATTCTTGGACAACCCCAAAGCAACTGCTTTCATACTGAATCCTTGCCTCACGTGGCCTGTGAAAATCAGCAGGGAGAGAGCAAGCAGCTGGGCTAGGGAGGTGCTTGAACTCTCCTTGTGAGAGTAGTCCCATGATGCCTGAAAGAGACAGCAGTCAGACTACTCCTGAAGAAATCCTCCTCAGACTTGGAAGATCTTAATAAGTTGGTGGTAACTGTTACTTTCATGGGCATGTTTCTTGAGCCAGCCAGCTGCAAACATTCTTGGATGAAAACAATTACCTGGATCCATTTTATCTGAAGTTCAGGCCATGTTTTGGCATGAAAACAGCCTTGGCCACCCTGTATGATTTGTTTCATTTATTTTGTTTTCAACATGTATATATGTATATATTACTCCATATCCTTGTATAGAGATTTCAAAGTAGTAAATAATAAAACAGTGAAAAGGAATAACACAATGTGCTTAAACATTATTGACGAGCAGCAGCTGAAATAAATATATTTTCAGGAGGCATTGAAAACAATACAGTGCTGGAGCCTGCCTGACCTCCAGAGTCAGAAAGTTCCTCAGAAATATGGTCACCACACTGAAAACTCTTACCTGGGTGAGCTCCATTTGAGCCATAGGTCCATGTAGAACCATCCAATGACCTCAGTGGCCAGGCATGTTGGAAAGTATCATGGTTCCAAGTTGTTTGGGGCCATAGATGGTAGTTGTAAGGCCATAAATCTGGCCTAGTAGCAAAGAGGGAGCCAGTGCATTTCCTTCTAGCTAAGGAGTTGCATGCTGACAGCTCTTAAGAACAGCTGAGCTTCTACATTCTGCACTGACTCAAGCTTCTAGATTAGCCTTAAGGGCTGCCTTATACCGACTGCTTTACAGTGGCCCAGCCTTAAGTCATTCAGTCCAGTGTGATGCCCTGTGTCTTAATCTGAGGCTCAAACACATCTTTTTTGCCCCAGGTTAAGACTTTTCTATTCCCAGGTGTCTAATGCCGTAAAGTACAGGCATTTCCGATGACTGTCTTTACCAGGTCCACTGTCTGTCTTAAATTGTTTTACATTTTGTAAAAATGCCATATTGGTTTTATTATCTTATTATTATCATCTTTTTATTAGGCACTATAGAAATGAAATAAATAGTCTGAACTATGCATTGCTGTGAAGCCTTCTACCAAGGGTTTTTTAACGCTAGTAAGGGGAAGCTATGTATCCTCTGATAAGGGGGGCTTTCTCTCAGACTTTAATGGAGATGCTGTCTTGCATCAACAGATTCGTTGGAAGTACATGATTGTTGATGAAGGCCACCGTATGAAAAATCACCACTGCAAGCTAACCCAGGTCCTAAACACACACTACGTAGCTCCACGTCGTCTGCTGTTGACAGGGACTCCACTACAGAATAAGCTACCAGAACTCTGGGCTCTGCTCAACTTCCTCCTTCCAACTATCTTCAAGAGCTGTAGCACATTTGAGCAGTGGTTTAATGCTCCTTTTGCCATGACAGGAGAAAAGGTGGGTGTTGGAAGAATCATCTCAGTGTTCTGTAAAACAACTGGGTTCTGCAGCTGTCTTCCATGAATCCCCCCTCCCCACCCATTCTGGTGATGAATTCAGTATTTCATACACTTCAGCTTCCCCTCTTTTACAGGGCAGTCCATTTTTGCTTTGAGTGGGAAGATGGTGTCAGGGAGAAGTGGGGTGGAGTTCCTCAGAATATGGCATGTTACAGGGGTTCCTCAACCCCAAAAGGGCTGAAAAGCACTGAACTTATCAGTATGATGTGGGGGAGTCTTATAATTTTGCCTGGCTTCTAATAGTTTTATGGTGGTAAATGGATCAGGTGGCACAGTATGCATGCATGCATGCATGCATGAAATTTCTAGCCTGCCCCATTAGCCATATGGCTTCCTGGGTGGGTCACAGTATTCCCGTCTTTACATTCTTCTAGTGTAGGTGATGTTAAAGAATGTTTCATTTGCTGGGCAGGGTGGTGGTCTTGAGGAGTGGTTTTCAACTGCCGGTCAGCAGGAGATTTCCTGCTGGTCGGTGGGGGGGATGCATCTTGCTTGCTGTGGACCGGCACAGGAGCTGGCTGTGCTCCACCACCATTTCCTTGGTTGGCATTGCATTTGGTGCGCAGGTTCCACCGGGGGTGGGGGGGCAGGGAGGGGAGAGACTTCTGATTGACCTGTCTGACCAACTGCTGATTAGCCTTCCACAGCCATTTTTCACTCTGGTGCCAAATTCTCATACATGTGGTTGAATTTGCTATAATTAGTGTATTTGTGGGGGACTACCAATGAATTGGAGAAATAAAACTATCCATTGACTTTGGAGATACAGTTAATGATAGAGCAGATTATTTTTGTTTTGTGTGTTAAAATGCTGATAGAATGGAGACATAGTGGTTAGAGTGTTGGACTGGGACTCAGGACAGCTGGGATCCAGTCCCACTTGGCCATGAAGCTCATTGGTTGACTTTCGGCCAGTGACTAAATGGGGAAGAGGAGGATCATGTAAGCAGCCTTGGGTTCCTTGGGGGCAAAAAGGTAAGATATGAATGTAATAATTAATTAGATGTTCCTGTGGACTTTGAGAAAAATATTTTAGTAACTGCTGTTGCCTTAAACCTCTGTGTGGTTAAAAACAGGTGGATTTGAATGAAGAAGAAACTATTCTGATTATCCGTCGTTTGCACAAAGTGTTGCGTCCCTTCCTGCTAAGAAGGTTAAAGAAAGAAGTGGAAGCACAGCTGCCTGAAAAGGTAACACATGAAGCAGGCAGTATTCCAGCTCTTACTAGAATTGTCCTTGCTAGTGGAAAAATGTGTCTTGTCCATCAGCCCTTGATTTTGATTATTATACCATTGGTGATTTTGTTTATCAAGGAAAGTTGTGTAGAAGGTTAGGAGGTGATGACTGTGGAAGGGCCAAGTTTTGGGGGTAGAGTGCACTCTGCACTCAAGCAGAGCTCCCTATGGTAATGCAGGACCTTCTACATGCTTCAGTACATTTGCTAGGTGCTTCCAAGGTAAAATCACGTACATCCACTCCAGTGTTATCATAGTGAATTTGGTGAGCTATCCACAGGACAGCCTGGTTACGTTTTCATGGATAAGTTCCAGTTAGTACAGCCTGAGGTTGTTGTCAGTGTGTGTGGACTAGTTCATGTGGCCATGTCCATACTGGGTCCTTACGCCTCTTGGCTAATAGAAGTGATCAGGGAGGGAACAGCCACCTAGGCCAGGGAGGTGATTAATGCCTCTTTACAGTAGGAAGTAGTCCCATTCTACCTCTTAAGGTAGTGCTGAGATCACTCCTGAAGAAACCCTCTCTGGATCCAGAAGTTCTTAATAATGTTAGGTTGGTGGCAAATAACCTCCTCCTGGCCAAAGTTCTTGAGCAGATGGTGTTCAACCAGCTCCAGGCACTCTTTCATGAGACTGATTATTTGGATCCATTTCATTTGAGATTCAGGTCAGGTTTTGGCATGGGAACAGCTTTTGTTGCCCTATCTGATGACGCCATAATATTACAGAAATGGAGAGTATGTAACCGTGTTGGTATTTCTGAATTGCCCAGCAGCCTTCATCCATTGCTTTCTTTCAGGGTGGCTGGCTAAGTTGGAAGTAGGAAGCACGGCACTGCAGTGGTTCCACTCCTATTTCGACAGCCAGCTCTAGAAGGCAGTGCTTGGGAGATATTGCTCAACCACTTGACTTCTCCAATATGGGGTACATCAGGGTTCAGTCTTGCCCCTCAGGCTATTTAACATCTATATGAAACCACTGAATGGAGTCATCTGGCATTTGGATGCCTGCCTATGGCAATGAACTGGATGAGGGCTGACTAATTGAAGTTCAATGCAGACAAGACTGAGATGCTCCTAGCAGTTGTTTCTTCTGACTGGATGGAAGGAATTCAGCTTGTTCTGAATGTTCTGTTGTCCTTGAAGGAGCAGTTTTGTAGCTTGGGGATTCTCCTCAACCCATCTTTGTCACTTGTTTGAAATGACTTGAAGCTCAGATGGGCTCAGTAGCATAGAGTGCCTGCTAACAGCTTTGGTTAATGGCCCAGCTATCTAGACAGAGATAGCCTGGTTTCAGTAATCTACACTCTGGTAATCCCCATACTAGATTATTGCAATGCACTCTATACAGGGGGTGCACCTTCTGCAAAATGTGGCAACCAGATAATGACAGGGACCAGAAGGTTCCAACCCATAGTACCAATTCTGGCCACTTGCATTGGCTACGTATATGATTCCGAGTCCAATTCAAGGTGCTGGTTTTAAACTATAAGGCTCTGCATGGTTTAGGATCACAATACCAGATGGAATGCTTCTCCCAGCCATAATCTCCCTGGACACTGTAATCAAAAACTGGGGACTGCCTCCAATTGCCACCTTCAAGGGAGGGTTAGTTGGTGGCAACAAGCACCTTCTTGGTGTCATTCCCTCAGTTATGGACTGCCTGAAGCCAGCTCCAATATCTTTTTGGTACCAGGTTAAGATTGCTCTCTGTGACAGGGCATTTAATTAGTTTTAATATTATATTAGGGTATTACATCAGCTTGTGGTTTAGTTTGGGTAAGCTATTATAGCTTTTTAAATGTGGATTTAAATTTGTTTTCTACATTTTGTTTTGTACTTTTAACTATGCTTTAGTCATCTGTATTTTATATTGTATTTTATGTGGCATTGTAAACTGCCCAGAGAGCATCAGCTATTGGACAATATAGAAATAATAATAATAATAATATCATCATTCTGAGAACTGATCAGCTACCATAGCTCACTGTCTCACTGCCTTAAAATTGGGTCTGTAAGTGTTAATGCACAGTAGTTATCCATCAAGATGTGCAAGAACTGGCAATCTGTAGAGAAAATAATTTGAAGCCATGACATTATAGAAAGTACATCTTGAAAACAGTGGTACTCAGACTTTCTCAAGTTTTAATTACTTGCCTTGTCTACCCAATGATATGCCTCCCCACTGATTCCTTTCTGTAAGAATGTGTGTGTGTGTGTGCGCACACACGTGCGCATGCATGCCTTTGGATGCATTTTGTTGTGAATTGAGATCCTCTGAGACATAGGTCAGGTGCAGCCTGCAGGGCTTCCTCATCTGATCCATGTCCATGTGATCCTTCAACCTTCTGCTCATCCTATGCCTTTCAGTAGTGATTAAGCTTATATTTTGTTTAATTTTCCACTGGTACTAGTTTAAATTTTATTTTAAGGTAACTGCAGCATGTGGGAGGGGCTAAAGCTCCCTTCCCTGCATGCCACAATCTTCCTATGCAACAGTTGAGCTTCAAAAAAAGAAACTCTCATTGGCCTCAATAGAAGGCCTAATAACTATGTGAAGGATGGAAGTTAGCATGTCTGTGGATGTATAGGAAAGTGTGTCTGCAGCCCTGAAGAGGTTGAGGGACTGCAGCCCTCAGGTTGAAATGGGATCGCAAATCTTTTACAAATCAGTTAAATAATTTCTTGTGCATATAACACACCCTTCTCTTTCTCATGGAAGCAGAAATAAAATGGAAGCACTGATGATGTAGGAAGCTGACTGCTAATGAGCCAAAATAATTGTCTATCTAGCTTGAGCAATCTTTTCTCTGGATGATGATAAAGACTTCTGGATCCTTCTGACACAAAGCATGTATTTTACCAGTAAATTGCAAGCTCTCATTGAAAACATCTGGAAATGTGCTGTGTTAAGATTACTACAGATTGTAAAAGCAACAAAAATCCACGATATTGAGGGAGTTACCTATATGCGTGCATTGGAAAAACATTTTAGAGTTTCATGTGTTAACATTTCTTCTCTCTGTTTGAAATAGGTAGAATATGTGATTAAGTGTGACATGTCTGCATTACAAAGGGTACTGTATAGACATATGCAAGCCAAGGGTGTGCTGCTTACAGATGGGTCAGAGAAGGACAAAAAGGTTTGGACTTCTTCTCTAATGTGCAAAATGGTTTATAGTTTTTGTGCTGATATTGTTGCCAAACAAAGTTCTGTTTTGTCGGGAGCAGAAATTAGTACCATCTGCTATAAGATGGTTACATTTGTAGGTGCAGGTGGATCTTGCAAAGGAGCTCTCTCATACCAAAACCTTTCTTACTGCTCTCACAAGAGAGTGCTTCAGTGGGGAACTTGCAAGATAATCCTTGGAAGAGAAGCAGTGTGAGAACAGCAGACCTCTAGATGTGACAGGAGATTTTACTTACCTGATATGCAGTTGTCCCCTTAGTTAACCAGAAAAAGTCATAGGCAAAAATGATCAGTTTGAGTTTTGAGGCTCTTCAGATTCTTGCTGAAGATCCATTGGCTCACTTCATGCATGCTATTAAACCATTAGCTCCTGATTTTAATTGTATTTTAGATCATAATTAGCCTCAAAATGTGAAGCAATATCAGAATGGAAAGCTTCCCTGCTGTGGTACTAATTTTTGTTACTTTTTTGTAGCACAATATTATAAAAGTACTGCTGCTGCTTACTGATCCACAATGCAACACTAGTACTGATCCACAATGCAACACAGTTACATGAAGAATGTTATGAAGACACAAATATTTGCACACCATCCCCAAATTATTCTCCTATTTATTTGGTGAAAGCTACTGCACAAGTACAAAATAAAACCAAGACCTAGGAAATTAAGTTTAAAATGCTGAAAGTCATCTTGGGCAGTTTGGTTTCAGGGTCTTAGCTATTATCCCTTGACTATCCTGCATTTTGCTTTATGGTTTGATCCCTGGACTGAAAATAATCATGTTGGGGAACAGAATGATGTAGTATATCATTGTTTATCCCCTTTAGTGCTTCCCATTGTTTAGGCAGGAAGTTTTGAATGGGGCTATCTTATTCTTGCAGGGCAAAGGTGGTACGAAAACACTTATGAACACTATTATGCAGCTAAGGAAGATTTGCAACCATCCATACATGTTTCAGCATATAGAGGTAAAGAACTCAAAACATTTCTGTTGATGACATTTTCAGCCTGCTGTATGTAGTGACCAGTGAGGGCCACTAGGAACAAAGATAAAATGCCAGAAGTACCAGTGCCTAGATTAATTGATCTGCAGAGCAATGCAAGCATGGGATGCCTTGGTTAAAAGTAGCTTAAAAGGTTAACCCACATTTCTCCAGCTTCTCAATTTGTCCCTTACTTGCTTTGCCTTCTGGAAGGCCATCAAGCCCTTGTGTTTGTTGAGAAAACTCATGGAGATAGTTAAATGCTGCTGCCAATGCTAGAGATGTGTGGCCTTTGTTAAATCTGTTCTGTCTGCATTTCACAAAAAATTGGAAGCTTCCATTCCATTTGTGCAAATTCACCATTCCAAAAAGGTGCATAGCCTCCCAAAATGTGCATTTTCACACTTCCAGGAAGAAGGGGAACGCAGTCAGATTTTTTCCCCCCATACCCTAAGCAAGAAAAAATATCTGTCTGGAAAGTCCACAGAATCCATACAATGTGGGACAAGCCAGTCTACTACAGAATCCACAGGTTGGATTCATAGAAAGCCAGACTCATTTGAGTCCTTTACAGATTTCTCTGACTTCCCTAGCTGCTCTCCATTGGAAGCTGTGACAAAGGGCAAATGGATATTAATGATTATTTTGCTATCCTTTCTCTAGTCCCAGCCTGGTAACTGAACCCTGAAAGCTGCAGCGCCTTCTCCAAGCTGATTCTTGCAGATTTCTGTTCAGTGGTGGGCAGAACCTCATCTGTTTCTTCCCTTTTAGCAGTTGGGTATTTCTTGAATCCCACAGCTTGTGGCACAAACATGTACCCTGCAAGGCTCACCTCAAAATTAGAGAATCGAAAGGTTACCTGTTTGGCTGTTTAATGTTGTAGCTGTATGTAGTATGGTATTTAATGGTAAGAGTTAAGCTATATGGTGATGGATTCTGGCACTAGGAGAATCCATGAGTATTTGAAAGTTTGCATCCATGAATTCCATAGCTACTTGCCTGTTTTGTGTTCTACTTGTATTCACACCTTGTCTCATAGAAAAGGATAATAAGTGTACCAAATGTCTATTGCAAAGCACCTTAGGGTACAATCATATGCATGTTTAGATGGAAAAATGTCCTAGAATTCCCTACATTGGCACACAGGGAATGTTAGGGCTTATTTCTGGCTAAATATGCATGGAATTGCATCCTTAACCATGTTAAGTAACAAATGGTAGAAAGCCATTTTATTAGTCGTCATGTAAATTCTGTGTTAATGCAGTCCATGCAGCCAAACAGCAATCAGAATTCTAGCAGTTATCTTTTAGAGAAAACAGTTGATGCGATTATATTTGGCATGCTGTCTTTATTGTATTTGTCATTATTTTTGTATTATTGCACATTATTGTATTTGTCATTATACTTCTTTTGGTATATTTTGTTGCAGGAATCATTTTCTGAACACTTGGGCTTCACTGGAGGGATTGTGCAAGGGTAAGTTGGCCACCCCAAAACATTTAGAGAGTGTGGTTTGTTTTCTTTACTGAAGGCCAAATATGTTGCGCCAAGTTTTTTTTTTTTTTTTTTTTACTTTACTGATTGAGCCAGTACAAAACATTACGAATTTTCTTGTTGTAACCTCTGTAACCCAAATGCTGTCAAGTTATTGCTTTCATGATCTGATATTACCTGTTCAAGATGAACAGAAAGAGAGGCAGAGTCGCACTATATGTTAAAGATACATATCTCTGCACAGGATGAGTTTAGTAGCTCCATCAAGAACATGTGGATTAATTTGAACAGAGTAAGGAATAAAAAGAGGAGGGTGACTGGAGTCTATTATCGATCATCCAGGCAAGGAAAAGACGAGAATGAAGCTTTTGAAAAGTAAATTGCCAGTGTTTGAAGGAGGCTTGATGTCATCATTATGGGGGACTTCAGTTTCCTCAGTATCTGTTGGGGAATTTGGAGACAAATTCTGCCACATTTGGAAATGGTGGAAGAGACAAGAGGAGCAGATATCCTTGACTTGATACTAACCAGCAGAGAAGACCTTGTGGATAAAGTGGCAGCTGTGGGAACTCTAGGGGAAAGTGACTGTACCATACTTAATTCTTGATTCTAAAGTAAACACAAGCCAAATGTACCCTGGATTTTAGGAAAGCCAATTTTCTCAGAACAATGATAAGCAAAGTACCATCGCAAGTGACTCTTATGAGAAAAGGAGTCCAAGATAGTTGGGAATTTTTAAATATAGAAATTCTAAAGGCACAATTACAGACAGTTCCAACAAGAAAAATGGGTAGAAGACAACAGAACAAACCTATATGGCTTCATAAAAAGCTTTAAAAGGAAGACTAGGCTACAAAGGAAGAATCAGATATCCTGATTAGCTAACTAGCTGAAAAGTGAGCTTGATGGAAAAACAATTGGGTGCATCCACAGTTGACTACAGAATTGGACTCAAAGAGTGTTCATCAGTGTCAGCTTCTCAAACTAGGGGAGGTAACAAATGGGATACAGCTGGGTGCAGTCCTGGTCCCAGTGCTCTTCAACATTTTTATTAATGATTTGGTTGCAGAAGTGCAGGGAACAATTATCACGTTTGCAGATGACACCAATCTGAATGGGGTAGCTAATACCCTGGAAGACAGAAGGATGATTCAAGGTGATATTGATACATTGTAACACTGGACTGAAAGCAACAGAATGAAATTCAGTAGGGACAAATTCCAAGTTCTGCACCTAGAAAAGAAACCAAATGCATACTTGGCTCAACAATACTGCTAGAGAGAAGGATCTTGGAATTGTTGTAAAACATAAGGTGACTATGAATCAACAATGTGATGTGGCTGCAAAAAGGACAAATGCTACTTCAGGCTGTATTAATAGAAGTGTTACTTCCAAATCCCATGAAGTACTAGTTCCCCTTTACTTAGCACTGGCTAGTCCTCATCTGGAGTACTGTATCCAGTTCTGGGTACCTCAGTTTAAGAAAGATGCAGGCAAGCTGGAATGGATTCAGAGGAGGGCAGCAAGGGTGATCCTGGGACTGGAAACAAAGCCCTGTGAGGAGAGATGTTTAGCCTTTAGAAGAGAAGAGTGAGGGGAGATACGGTAGCACTCTACAACTACATTAAAGGATGTCACAAAGAGGATCTATCATCCCAGAGTGCAGGACATGGAATGAGAGGCTCAAGTTACAGAAAGCCAAATTCCAGCCAAATATCAGAAAAAAATTCCTGACTCTTAGGACAGTATGGCAATGGAACCATTTACCTATGGAGGTTGTGGGCTCTCCCACGCTAGAGGCATTCAAGGTGTAACTGCACAGGAAAGGCATTTGATAATGTGTCTTGGTCATTTCTGTTGAAAAACCTTCAATACATAGACTGTGGTCCAAGTTTCATGAACTGGATACAAGCAATTTATATAAAGCAACATGCAAATATTTTAATAAATGGATTACTGATATTTTTCTGATGGAAAAAGGAATGTCTGTTATCACCACTTTTATTTATCTGTATTTTGGAAGGTTTAGCTACAAAAATTAGGCAAGACCCTAAAAAAAAAGGCCTGAAAGTAGATGGAGAAGAATATAAAATGAAAAGTTATGCCAATCATATAGTATTGATGATCTTACAACCACACCTATTGATACAGTATATAATAAATTAAAAAACTGGGTCTTTTTCTAGCTATAAAAATTATAAGCGGAAAATGAAAATTATATTAACATTTACAACAAAACATAAAGAGAAAAAATAATTTCAGCATGTGAAATGACTTCCAACTCAGTTAAGTGCTTGGGAATAAACGTGACTTAATATAATATATTATTTCAAGACAATTTCAAAATAATGGACAAAAATCCAAAAAGATTTACAGAGATGATCTAAATTGAAAGTGTCATGGTAGGGAAGAATGTCCATTACCCAAATTAGTTTAATTTCAGATAATACCAATTTTCATCTAAAAAATGCTTCAAGAATGGCAAAGGCAATTGAATGCCTTCATTTGGAATGGAAAAAACCCAAGGATTAGATTTAAAATCCTACAAGATGAAAAAGATGAGGGGGGGGGGTCTCACAGTACCTAATATCAAGTTACATTATTATGCAGCTGGCTTGGATTGGATTACAGTTTGGATTATGAATCCCAATGAAAAATTAATGAAATTGGAAACAACAGATTTGGAAAAAGGAATATATAATTCTTCATCATACCCTCTGTGCATCACACATTATGGGTGCTACGCCTGTGCAGTGCCTGTTGCCAGGAAGAGTAAACAGCTTTAATGGTTTTGGCAGGAACTCTGCGCTCCCCCCGCCCCATAGTATAACTGGGTGGAGTGCCCACCATTTCCCCAGTCTTGTGACTGTCTTTCACTGTGCCTCGAGCCTTTCGTTTGTCTCTCGTAGCTATATCCACACTTTTTGCCATTACTCTTTCATTCTTAGCTTTCTCTTTTTTCAATATCCTCATCCAAGTTATAACCTGCCTAATCCCCCCCATCGTTACTCTCTTGTTGAACCTTTTCTTTTGTTCACTGTCTCTTTCTCTCTCTTTGATGGCACAGCAGGTGGCTTTTCGTAAGTGCTCCCAGTGTGTGGCTAAAATGTTTCCCACTAATCTACATGACCTATTCCTTCTGTGCCTTGGAGAAGGCCACAGGACTGATAAGTGTGACCATTGTCAGTCTTTCACTAGGCAGGCCTACAAGAACCAGGAGAACTGCTTGCAGAAAATGCTGTGGGAGCAGGCCTTGGTCACTATGAAAAAGGTCCCAGTGGAGACCGCAGTAGCAGATCCATCTAAGGCCGCCCCTCCTCATCCATCGGATGGTGGTACAACTTCCAAGGAGGCCAAACGCTCCTCTCATTCTCCTCACCATAAACAAAAGGAGAAGAGGAAGCATCTTGGGTCTAATGACTCCTTGGCGCCAAAGAGACCCAAAAAGGATAATGCCAATAAGTCAGAGCACAGGCACAAGAAGCTAGCTAAGCTGCCTCGCATTATTATTATTATTATTATTATTATTATTATTATTATTATTACATTTCTATGCTGCCCCTTGCCGAAACCTCGGGGCGGCTTACAACACGATAAAATACAATGAAATACAATAGCACATAATAAATTACCATGAAATACAAAATACAAAAAATACATTGGTTTACAAATATAAGATTAAAATTATCAGTATAAATTAAGTAAATAAAAATATAGGAGGAGAAAGAGAAGGAAGAAGAAGTTGCCCTGGCCAGATCATATGTTTTAACAATTAAAATGATGTTTAAATAAAAAGGTCTTTACCTGGCGCCGAAAAACCAGTAACAACGGTGCCAGGCGGACCTCTTTGGGGAGTCCGTATCGACCACTCCTTTGGTACCGATCGCCGTGTTGATCCCTATGCCGACGGAAACATCCAATTGATCATGCAGGTGACTCCACCAGGGTCTCCTCCACGGATCGTGATTTCGGCTCCATCTCAGACTGGCCTGCCACTGGTGCATTTGCCAACACCAATGCCAACTTCTCCAGAGGCATCTCTGATGGCCCCTCCGCCACCTTCTGTACAGCAGCATCAGGCCCCAGTTCATTTCTGGGTTCCTGTGCTGTACAGGGAATTTGACCCATCGCAATCCTACCTGTGGGACTGTTACCCACCCTACAGATACCATCCGAGGCCTTCCATCCTCCATCATCATTCCACTTCGCACCTGGTACCAAGAGATGCCCCCTCGACTTCTGCAGCTGCTCTCTCTCGACCTCCGCCTTCTCCTGTTGGATTGCCACCGTACCATTCTGACTTGGATTCTGATGATTCTGAACAAGCATCCACATTGCCAGATGCAGTGATCTCCACTCAGGGTCCTGGCTCTCCTGGAGATTCTCGTGCCAGTTTTGGAGAACTGCTGGCGAGGATGGCTTAATCATTGGAGATCGATGTACAACATGGCATTGATCCCAACCAAGATAATATTTATGACATTGTCAGGAAGGAAGATTCTTCCTCCATTGCCTTGCCATTTATCACAACTCTTCGGCAGGCTATAACTGATACCTGACAGTTGCCGAACCAACCGCACCCGACGTCTAGGAGGCTCAAAAACATGTATAAATTTCAAGAACAGGATATTCCGTTTCTCTTGAAACATCCCAAGCCTAACTCTATCATGATCAAGTCTTCCCAGGGCCAGGAAAACAAAGAATACTCCATACCTAAGGAAGACAGATCGACATAATGTCTTGCCATATCTATGCTGCCATGGGACTCGGGCTACGCATCTTCAATTATGAGGCTACCATGGCAAGATATCAGTACTTTCTCATGCAAAAGCTTGAGACCCTCACTTTGACTCTCCCAGAACAGCAGAGACACCTTGCTCAGATCTTCATGCGGAAAGTGATGCAGTTATCTATCCAACAACTTAATGTGGCAAAACATGATGTTGATTGCGACTCCAGGGCTCTCGTTGGTGCCATTGCCC